TAGTCTTCTCACTCTGTCCCATGGTGATCTCATTCGTGCTGATGAATTCCCAGATTTATAGCTCTACCCCACATCTTTTCTGATCAAATCTCTCCCTCTCTTTCGAGCTATCTCTCTATTGATCTCTTGATCTATTCATCTAAATTTCCAACTGGACGTTATGAGATTGTTGTAAACATGACATGTTTAAAATTGTATTCTTGATCTCTTCGCCCTATCCTCCTACAATCTGCCCCTTCTCTATATTTCCTCGACTTGGAAAATGGCATCTTCACTGCCTGGTTGCTCAAATCAGAACTTGATTGTCATCCGTGAAACCTCTCTCTTCCTCCACTTTCAATCTATCACCAAATTATATTTTTACCTCCTAAATATTTCTTGAAGCCAACAACTACTCTTTATCTTCACTACCACAACCTTGGTCTGTGCTACTATCTTATTTACCTGGGGGATTGTGACAGTCTCCCAGCTCGTGTCCCTACATTCATTCATTCTTCCACTTCAATCCCCATAGCAAGTGATCATTTAAAAGCACTGATTGCATCATGCCACCTCTCTGCTTAAAACACACCAGTGGACTCTGCTTCCCTTTTCCTCTTCAGCTTGCATCTTCCTCTCCTTCTCTAAGTACACTCCAGCCCCAATGGCTGCCTTCCTCCTGTGGGTCAAGGGTTTCCTGCTCCAGATCCTTCATATATTTTGTTCTCACTGTTGGAATTCTTTCCCATCTGCAACTCTCACTTCTCCCAACTTCTACTAATTCTTCAGTCTAGTTTTAAATGTCAGACCCTAGGAAATCTGTTTAGGACTCTCTTGATACTCTCTTGTATAGTATCCTATTTTTTTTTTCCAAAACACTAATTTCAATTTCTAATTATAAATGCATTTGTGAGTTTATTTCTGTCTTCCCAGCATAGCTATTTTTGTTCACCGCTACATGCCCAGAAACTAGAACAGTTCTTGTTGATGAAGTAGACAGTCAATATTCGTTGAATGACAGTGAGTGAACTGGAGGGACTTTCATAAAATAATCCAAAATTTTTTTTTCTATTTGACTCTGTTCTAGCCCAGGTAGCTTTTTGATTATGATTTGTCTTCTCATATAGCTTGACCACAGGAAAAGAACGCACTAATTGGGAAGATTTATTTAGGTGAGAAATATTTCTTAATTTAAGATTGATGTTCAGGTGACAACTCAAGCTCACATACAGTTTAATTCCTAGGTGTGTGTCTCTGAGGCCCTCAGACTTGAGGTCAGGTCCTGGGCCACATAAGTTCACTAATAAATATTGCCCATGATGCTTTGTTGGAGACAACCTTACAGACCTCTCCC